AACTAAAAAAATAAATATTAAAAAAAAAAAAAAAAAGAGGGGCTGGGGATGTGGCTTAAAAGGTATCGTGTTCGCCTAGCATGCATGAAGCACTGGATTCGATTCTCACCACCACATAAAAATAAAATATTGTGTCTACCTAAAACTAAAAAATAATTATTTTTAAAAAAACAGTAACATTGCTGTGAATATTTAAAAAAAAATTATCTCCATTTAAAATAGAGACTTGTCCCAAATCACAGTAATCAAGTGGTGAAGATGATACTGGATCTAGTACTGAACTGCAACAGGCCGGAGGTCTTTCTCATGGTCTTTCTAACAGAGTCAGTGAATGTATAGAGATCTGATGAAGACTTTGTCCTTCTTTACCTACAAAAATGCTTCAACTACCATATTGTACTCAATAATGATTCTGTAGTTTTGGGGATGAAGATGTCAAAAAGCTACCTGGGGCCAGGTGCAGTAGTGCTGTATTCCCAATGGCTCGGGAGGCTGAGATAGGAGGATCGTGAGTTTAAAGCCAGACTCAGCATTGGTGAGGTGCTAAGTAACTCACTGAGTCCGTGTCTCTAAATAAGATACAAAATAGATGGGGCTGGGATTGTGGCTCAGCGGTAGCGTGCTCCCCTAGCATGGGCGGGACCCGGGTTCGATTTTTAGCACCACATAAAATAAAAAATAAAGTATCGTGTCCACCTGTAACTAAAAACAAATATTAAAAAAAAAATGCATTACCATTTGTTTAACATTTGGGCTTTAGCAATCCAAAAAGGCCAAAACTTGCCTCAGACCTTTTCACTGAGAACCTTATTTAAAACTTATATATATGTTTTTCTTTAATTGGTACATCATGTAGACTCCCCAGAGCTCCAAAACAGAATTTAATGAATTCTTTTTCTGAGTCCTGAAGGATATGCCAATGTTCTGTTGATCTGTCAATATTTTCCTTAGCTCAGTCTTTTCATGTCATATACAATTCATTTTCTTTTTTGAGTTTAATTTATGTGCTCTTTTCCTAACATAATGATAGATTAGAATCCCTTCTTGGTTGATTTTCACATACCTAGTTCCCTTGCATTGTTTATGTAATTCTATAGGCAAGTGCTCCACCTCAGAGCCACACCTCGGAGCCACAACCCCAGCCCAACAATGCATTTTTTAAGCAAATGCAAATTTTCTGAAAGGTGATTTCAGCAAATAGAAAACAGCAAATCACAGTGCCACAAACCAATTCTGGAGATTTTTCAGAGTACTCAGTTTGGGGAACATCTATACTCCAAGCAGTTTAACAATGTTGAAGAAACTCATCTAATTTATTAATGCTTGTCCAAGTCTATTCTGGCAGAGAACACTAAATCCATCTTAAATTGGCAAAATAATGACAGATTGATTTCTGGCTACCTTTGTTTATCTTGGGTACTCAGGATTCCTACTCTCGTAACTGCCTTGTCAACAGAGATAAGATTGTGGACCAATATATCCTCTAAGAAGGAAAATACATATCCTGAGATATCCTGTGACTGGTTCCTCCAAATCTTGTCCATTTCAACAAGACTTTGTTGTCCGTCTGTCCTTCCTTCCTTCCTTCCTTCTCCTCCTCCTCCTCCTCCCCCTTCCCCTCCCCCTCCTTTTTTGTATTGAGTTTTACCCCAGTCCTTTTTTATCTTAAGACAGGGTCTTCGGTAATTATTACCCAATGTACATGTATGATTGTACAAATGGTGTGAGTCTGCATCATGTACAACCAGAGAAATGAAAACTGCTCCATTTATGTACAATGAGTCAAAATGCATTCTGCTGTCATGTAAAATTAATTGGAACAAATTTTAAAAATCTAATTTCTTTAAAAAAAAAGTTATTTTAAAACCTAAAAAAAAAAAAAAAAAAAAATGATCAAAATTAAATTACTCAGAGCCTTGCTAAACTGCAGAGGATGTCTTGAA